TTTCACATTTGCTCACCGTCCTCCAGCCCCGTCTTCTCTCAGTTCCTCAGACTGCCTGCCTGGAGCGCCGTCTTCTAGACCCACTCTCTCCTCCCTCTGTGTGGATGACTCCTTTGTAGTGCTCTGCCTCAGTTATCCTTGTTTCTGCCTCCGCCTGTTTCCATCATTTTATACGACTCTGTTTCCAAGGGTTTCTTTCATTTTTTGGATCCCTTGTTTTCTGATTGCTTTCTAGAGATGCAGTCTCCAAGAGGAAAGGGAATGTATCTAGCTCCTCATTTTTGCTTCTCCAGTCCCTTGAACAATGTTTGACACATGGTAGTTATGCCTTAAATGTTTGTTGAATAAATGAATGAATAGAAGAGATAAGCTACTGCTCTGAGTGGGAGACGGCTTGATGCATCTGAAGGAAAGAAAACCACATGGCTTTAGCATAGAAAGCAAAAGGGAGAGTAGTGACATCGGGCTGAGGAAGTAGATGGAAATTCAATTTTGCGGTCTTTTGTGCTAGTATTCTTCAAATTGCTATTAGTGAGTCATGAAATCAATTCAGTGGGCTGTTACCAGCATTTAAACAAAAGAAATAGAGTAAAATCAGGGTGCATTGTACTTAGTAAAAGTATCACAGCAAACTTACTTCTATATTTTTGATATATGTCTGTGTATGTATTTCTGTATCATATTGAGATATGCAAAGATTTCCCCACTTTGCTTTGCAGTAAACAGATATAAAAGCCACCATGGTAGGCCATGTTAAGGATTTCTGGTTTTCTACTAAGGGAATGGAGCCACTCATTGATGATATTTTTCCAGAAGAGTCGCTTTCAAGGTTTCCTTCCAATTGGAGATGTTAGTAATAATAAAAAGTGTTACTACTTTTAGCAACATGTATGCATGAAAAATCAGGCTAGGCTGCATGTACTGTTACCCCTAGATTGCCTCGTTCCGTTTCTTCAAGGTGAGAGCTATGCCTTATTCACTATTGTTTTCCGAGTGCCTAGTGTAGACTAAGTAGATAGCAAAGACGTCTGTGTTGAATGAACGAAAGAGCTTGTATGAAGCTACTGTTTGTGAATGGAATTGCTGTAAGTCCCAGCAGATGCTTTGCCACTCTGAGTATTACTCACAGAAAACTCTGGTGAGAATAGCTACCAGAGTCTTGTTTACTTTTCGAGGTTCCACTGTGGAGAGTGTCAAGTGTAAAGTCTGTAAGGCCACAACGTTTCGTGGTACACACCTGCCTGCTTCACCATTAGTTTGCTCCCAGGCACCCTGCATATCAAAAGGCATATTGTAGATATTTATTTGTAAGTGACAAATATATCAAAAATTTCTGATTTTCTGCTGTCACAACAATTACAAAAGATAGTACATCTTTCAAGTACATATATGATGTTATTAGTGATTAGTAATCAGTCTATGTAATTTTTTTTTTTTTTTTGAGATGGAGTCTTGCTCTGTCACCAGGCTGGAGTGCAATGGAGCGATCTCAGCTCACTGCAACCCCCGCCTCCCAGTTCAAGCAATTCTCATGCCTCAGCCTCCTGAGTAGCTGGGACTACAGGCCCGTGCCACCACACCCAGCTACTTTTTGTATTTTTAGTAGAGACGGGATTTCACCATGTTGGCCAGGGTGGTCTCGATCTCTTGACCTCGTGATCACTTTTGGGAGGACTTGGCCTCCCAAAGTGCTGGGATTACAGGTGTGAGCCACCATGCCCAGCCCAGTTTATGTAATCTTTATCTTAAAAGTGAATCATATGCATTGAATATTTATTACAGGCTAGGTGCCTTTCACAATAGTGTTATGCACATTTATAAGCAAGTAACCTGGGTCTTAGAATATGAAACTGGAACTTGAATTAAGGTCTTTCTAGATCTCATATCCAATGGTGTTTTCACTAAATTATGCTGCTTCAATACAGAACATAATTGGTTTTCCTTCAGCCTTTGGATCCCTGATAGCACTGCCCTGGCATCATCCTACACAGACATTTCAGCTTCTGGAGAGGGAAGACATGCCTCTCAGGAATTACTGCTACTGCAGCAATCGAAAGGTCTCTTGCTCTTGGGCCCAGGAGCTTTATGTGAACTATCATATGTGTAGAAGGCTTCATATTAAGAAATCACTTCTGAGGGGAAATGATATAAGGAAAATATGGATGGTTAAGATGAGAATGAGGCAGGTGATTTTTATATTATACCATTAATAAAAATATATTCCGCCCACAGTGCTAGAGTATTAGCTACATTCTGACTCCGAAACAGATGTAGCCACACTTTGAATTTAGTTGGCATAAAAATATCAGCCATACTGGTAGATTAAGTCATTGCCGATCACTTTTGAAAGTTGTGATAGGAATAGCTCAGAAAATGCTGATAATGGGAAGTGCTCAATCATAAGGATCATCTCACTCAATATAGATATATTTCTTGTATTGTAAATTTAAACATAAATATCAGAAAAAATGATTGTAGTTTTGTCTGCATTGTTTTATAATATCATCCATTAAATATAAAACATAATTTCAAAAATACTTAGAGCCTAAGCAAAGGCACAGTATCCTATAGTAGTAAAGGAATAACCATGTTTGGTTGATGTGTGTATAGGTAGATAATTAGGGAAAAATAATAAGAGATAAAAGAGAAACTCATACTGGTATTGATTAACAGTGTAAGATGATGTGGTAGAATAGAGAATGAGGGTAATACAGCCTATGGATAAATAGTAAGTGAACTTCCCTTGACTTGAGCAGAATGCTTTGGCGTAACTGGGCTTGAAAATTACGCCTCTTACGTGTATACATATAGCCTATCATTCATTCATTGTTTAACATATGTAGTAAGTACCCACATGTGCCGACATAGTGACTGGGAATTTCACCGTGAACGAAACACACACAAAATCTACCTTCATGGAATTTATGTTCTAATGAAGAAAGGAGAAGAGGTAGATAAACACAACAAAAGCTATCTACGTAGATGTCAGATGGCCATAAAGCAAAAAAGCATGGTTTTTGCCAATTTTAAATGAAATGGGTACAGAAGACTTCACTGGAAAGATGGTATTGGAGTAAAATCCTGAAAGTTAATAGCAGATCCAACCAGAATATCAGAAATGTGAAATCTGAGTGCCTTAGTCTATTTTGCACACTGTAACGGAATATGACACGCTGGGTAATTAATAAAGTAAATAAATTTATTGGCTCATAGTTTTGGAAGTTGGGAAGTCAAAGGCCAATGTGCCAGCAGTTTTGGTTCCTGGAGAGGCTATTCTTTTCTTTCAAGATAGCCATTGTCCAGAGAAGAGGAAGGCTGGATTTAAAATATGGCAGAAGGCAAAAGGGCTAAGAGAGAGAGAGCCCGTTCCACAAGCCACTTTAAAAAGGCATTAAACCCACCTATGAGGGTGAAACTCTCATCAGCTAACCGCCTCTCAAAGGCCCTACCTCCCTGTACCGTACGTTGGCAATTAAATTTCAACATGAGTTTTGGAGGGAAAAATCAAACTATACCATCAAAGCAGTTGATAATTGGTTAATGTTATCAGCAAAGTTTTCTATTAGGTTTTAAATAAGAAAATGCAAAACCAAGATTACAGTAATTTATTATGATAAATCAGAATGATAGTTTGGCCTCGTTTTTATTTAAAAAGTTGATTTAAAATGCTGTATACCTTTTCAGCCTGATGAATATTCATGATAAGATAAAAATACTTGTACTTTAGGAGCTTAAGAAGTGATGAGAGTGAATAGATGTTTTACTTTAAAAACACATTTTTTTTATTGTTGGTAAAAATAAAAATGATTGATGGACCAGAATGAAGAACAGGGGACATCTTTATTTTTTATAATTCTTAAGTAGAGAACTATGGGTGATTTTTACCATTCACATAATATTGCTTCATATTTTTTACAACCAAATATGATGAAGAAAGTGAGTTTAAAAACTGAAGGGCATATGAGAAAAATCCCATTTTCGTAAAAAAATTTCCAATCCTCTGTTTTCCCATTACTTTAAGTATCATGAAAAAGCAGTGAAATGGCCTGGAAAGATACACTTCATAATGAAAACGGTGATTGCATTTCATCCTTTGTTCACTTCAGCAGTTGGTGTTTGTGACAATGAGCAGGAATCATTTTTTATAATTTTTTAAAAGTTGATGTTTAGAAAGAAAGATCATTAAAAATTTAAAACAACTTTGATTTATTCTGAAATAAAAACATGGTATAATCTACATATTCAAGATAAATAATAAGCATACTTGGGAAGATATTCCAAATTAGATGTAACTTATAGAATACTGAAATATAAGTGTATGTTGTTTTATGAAGTCTCAAGGACTTGGTATAATGAAATAGCAAAGATGTTTATTCATTAAATAGTTTTTATTTGATTTTAAATAATGAAGAATAATTGTAGAAGAGAAAAGGAAAATAGAGTATTTTTCCATTAAAATATTTTCGATTAACTGCTTCTAAAGTAAACTGGCATCTTCAAATGAACAAACATTTCTTTAAAAAATATCATTGCTAAAGTTCAAATTCAACATGAATGTACTTTTATAATTCCTAACAAACAGCTAGGTGAAAAAAAGCTTTCCTTTTTCTTGTGAATTTGGATAATGCTGACACCACTGAGGAAACAATGACATGTAGCTTAATTATAAATAGTACAAAAATAATTTTAATTTTCCATAATTTCAACACATTTCTTCTAAAGTACTTGGCAAATGAAAAACAACACAAGCCCGTGTAGTTTCCTAATAATTATTCACAGTGTAAATTTGAAGAAGTAAATATGGAAATTAAACAGTATCATCAAAATATGTTTACCTTTCCCCTACGTTATGTATGATACCCATTCATATACCTAAGGAACTCAACCTATCCAGTGTCCTAGGGTAGACTTTTTCTTCCTAAGACACATACTCATAATCCTTCAAATCTTAGAACTGCATCCAAAAGGAAGCTTAACAATAGTGATTGTTTATTTTGTAGGTTTTACAGACGCTAGAGTGCCAAAGAAGACCTTTGAAGTGTGAAAAGATTTCCTGCAATTGAAACCACAATGTCATTTATAGATCCTTATCAGCACATTATAGTAAGTCATTCACTGTTTACGAATTCTTTCTGGGAGGGGGGCTGGTATGTTTCCGTATGTGAGTATCGCGGGCATTGCTAGTAAAACTGCGACAGCTTCTCCATTTGTTATTCTAGTCATATGAGCTTAATGTGGTACAGGAGGCTACAGAACACCATAAAACTAATTTAACTTTTCGTTTTATTACTTTAAGTTTCCAGAAAAGAGGAAATCGAAAGGAAGAAAAATACCAAAAGATCTGTAATAATAATGGAACAATAAAAACTGTTGTTATCACTTAGCAATCATCAGCCTGCGTAGTTTGCACCTTTCACATGACTTGGTGGAAAGAAGAATGAAAGTAAAAGAATGTCTGAGTTCAGGGCAATATTTTGGTTTGCATTTTTAGGGTAATTAATTCTGTAAACTTTCCCTTAGTTAGATATGTTTAAGCAAATTCTTCTATGGGTGGTTAGTTTTAGTAAAGAGTTAAGTAATTCCAATTTCCGTATGTAATTTTCCAAACTCCAGTGGAAGTATATATACTCTCTTCTGGTCAATAAATAGAAGAGAGAGTTCCTTGCTGAATTCAGCATTTGAGACTCAGGTTTATATGAGGTTGATATAGGTTTAATGGATATTTAAGGAATAATCCATAGCCTCATATTTACTTGAAATAAAATGCTGTTTTCTTACTCTGCATTCGTTTCTAGATACCATGCTCTCTCTGGCCCTCCTTAAATAAAAAGTTTATTATTATCGTTTGTAATGCCTTATTTCCCTCCATTCATAACTTGAACCATTGACCTGGACTCAGCCCTTCCACTTCACAAAAAGGTCTAATTAATTGGCTTCTTTGGGGCTAAATCCAGAAAACTTTTCAGTCCCCACACTCCTATCCCACTCTGCTGCTCATTGTTGTTTTCTTAAATCCTCAGATTTTTCTGGTTTTGTTTCTTCTGTTTCCTTGCTGTTGGTTACTTCTCAGTTTTCTTTTTCTTTTTTTGAGATGGAGTCTTGCTCTGTTGCCCAGGCTAGAGTGCAGTGGCGTGGTCTCAGCTCACCACAACCTCCGCCCCCTGGGTTTAAGCAACTCTCCTACCTCAGCCTCCTGAGTAGCTGGGATTACAGGTGTGTGCCACCACGCCCAGCTAATGTTTGTACTTTTAGTAGAGACAGGGTTTCACTTTGTTCAGGCTGGTCTCGAACTCCTGATGTTCTGATCTGCCTGCCTCAGCCTCCCAAAGTGCTGGGATTACAGGTGGGAGCCATCGCACCCGGCCTATTTCTCAGTTTTCTTATGCAAGCCCTTATTTCTGTTTGACTCTCTTTTTTAAAAAAAATAATTGAGGTATAATATACATGAAGTACATAAATCTTAATTGTTAAGCTTGGTGGATTTTTACATATATATTCCACCCCTGAAAACATCACTCAGATTATAAGTACCCAGGAAGACTTGCTCATCTACCTTCCGGTTAATCACTTGCCTCAAAGGTAGCCAGTATTTTACCTCTGTTATCATGGGTAAGTTTTGCTTATTTTTGACCTTCACATAGATTTCTGCATTCAACACTGTATCTGTGAGATTCATTCATGTTGTTGTCAGTAGCAGACTTCCACACTTTTACATTGCCATATGGTTTTTCATTATTTGACTATATCACAAGCTATTTATTTAGTCTACTGATAACCATTATATTCTCTTTCAAAGGCAATGGTGAATACCATCATTCAGTGGCAATGGTGATTTCCTATAAATCAGGCAACCATATATGTGTGGCTTCTTTTCTTTTCTGTTGTATTAGTCAAATAGTCTGTGTTTGCCCCAAGACCAATCTATCCTAATTTCTGTAGCTTAAAAGTATGTCTTTATTTATGGTAATGTAAATCCTCAAATTTTTTCTTCTTTAAGAATATCCTGTCTATTTTTAGTTCTCTGCATTTCCATATAATTGGATTCATTTTGCCAATTTACACACACACACGCACACATGCACACACACATGCACACAAAATTGCTGGGATTTTTGTTGGGACTGCAATGATTCTATAGAGGAGAGATAATATGATAACAACATTGAGTCTTTCAATCCATTAACAAACCATGATTCTTATCCAAAACTAAATGTTGCTTAATTTCATCTTTAATTATCTCAGTAATGTATTATAGTTTTCTGTAAGAAATCGTGTGTGTGTGTGTGTGTGTGTATATATATATTTTTAAATGTATTTTTTGATATTTGATGTTTTAATGTAATTGTAAAGGTAAAGATATCTGCAAACTTTATTTTCCAATTAGCCGTTGCCTTTTTTTTTTTTTTTGAGATGGAGTCTCACTCTGTTGCCCAAGTTGGAGTGCTGTAGCGGGATCGCGGCTCACTACAATCTCCTTGTCTTGGGTTCAAGCAATTCATGTGCCTCAGCCACCCTTGTAGCTGGGATTACAGGCGTCTGCCACCACACCTGGCTATTTTTTTTTTGTATTTTTAGTGGAGATGGAGTTTCGCCGTGTTGGCCAGGCTGGTCTTGAACTCCTGGTTGAGTTTATGTTTAGCAGAAAATATGAAAAAATTATTGATAATAACCATAATATAAGATAATGTAAGCCCACAATATGAGGGCTCTGACAAGAGACGGTGAAGATGACTCTGGGAGTAGTATACCACAGGAGGAATTGATAACATGAATCCTTCTGGAAAGAATTTCTAGGGGAAGTAACACATTAGCATAGACCTGAAGGTTAGCAGACGTTAGTCAGTTAAAGAGAGAGAAAATGACTTTTCTGAACTGGAAAAAGCAGGCATATGTGAATTAGTCTGAAGGTGAGATGTAATAGTACATGATTCAAGGAAATGAAGGAAGTTCAGTATGGTTGGAACACAAAACATTTCAAAGAATATGATTATTTGGAATGACTTTCACTCTTCTACTTGTTACTGGCCTTATTACTGACGGGCACGTAGCCCACTCATATGTCTTGTCAGATGATCTTGTGAACTGGCATTCAGTTTCTTCTTTTAACTTGGCAGAGTATATTTAAAAATCAAACTGCATCCAGACATCTGAGATTCAGCACTGGTACCTTTTCTTGAAAATTTTGTTAACTCTAGCAACAGATTTAGGCTATAATAATTACCAATGTGGTAATATTATATTATACCATATTACAAAACATGAAAAAACACATATTGGTATCACATTTTTCCTTACTTTCTCCAACATCAGGCGTAGACATCAACTAGTATTCTAATTTATGGCCCTTTTAAATGATCTCTTGGGTGCGAAGCCGAGTTACAGCCCTTTTAAGTGATCTCTTGATCTGTGAGCTTTACAGTTTTCTTCATTCTTCTTCTTGCTGTGTGTATATGAAAAAAACCAACTGTGAGTGCGCACGTGCGTGCGCGTGTGTGTGTGTAAATTGTTTTAAAAACAAAATTTCCTGCTCAGGTTTTCACAGAAAGATATTTTCCAAAATATGTAAGTGAGCAAGCACACTCAACACTGAGTGATATTAGTAAAGTGAAAGTTGGGGTGAATCAAGCCAGCTGACTATTAATAGTAATGAGCTCTTGGTGCCAAACAGGCTTACGGTTTTGGCTGCCTCAAGGCCAGAAGACGGGGCTCATTTTCACCGTTCCTGTGATGCAGGGACATGTTGGAGAATCCTGTAGGCTGATGCAGCAATTTGCAGCCAGCAAGCTCTCTGGCTTCTGATGGGGCTTGGATGTTAAGAAGCTGGTAGGAAAATAGAGTGACACATATATAACAGAATTTAGTTCTCATATGTCTAGAATCATTATGAGGTGCCTTCCAACCTTGAGGATTTTGTGTTTTCAGAATTTATTGAAGATTTTTTTTTTTGACCAGGAGCCATCAATTTTACAAGAGATCAAATATAAAATATTTATAACATTTTCCATCTTTTTACTCTGAGTAGATGAGTCATCTCCCTGAAGTGAAAAAATTCATACCTCTTTCTACCACCTATTAACAATGGGGGGGCACTGTCCCATATCCCACAGAAACTAAGGTTGTCTTCACATTAGGGACAGTCAACCACATGGATATGACAGCATGGTTGCATACCAAAATACAAGGGCTTTAAAAAAATACCATTGTAGGATGACTAGAAATTTTACCAAAAATGTAGAAAGCTATTATTCAGATTATTACAGTAATACAGGAAAGAAAACCACCACTGGAATAGGTAATCAAAGAAGTAGTGTTCTGTCGGCAGTTCTGGTCTTCCCAGTTATATGCTCACGAACACGTAGACTCTGACTTTTACCTGCCTCATCTGGAAAACGGGGTATAAATGGGACCTGCTGTGTCTGCTTCACAGAGCTTTTATTAATAGTAAAGTGTTATGTGCACAAAATTATTCCTTTGAAATAATAAGATATTTTTAGAAAAGTTAGAAGGTGAGAGGCTGCTACTGGAAAATGAAAAATATAAAAGTGATGGAACTATACTTACAAAAGCAGAGGACTATAAATGACTTAATGAGTTTTTAGGCAAATAGAATTTTTTGAGAACTCACAATATCTAGAAAAATGAGGAAGAAGAAAGCTAGTGTATTAGGGTTCTCTAGAGAAACAGGGCCAATAGGAGATATTAATGTATTAATTATGAGGTATTAATTTGTTATGACAAATAGGAGATATTGATTTATTGATTTGTTATGAGACATTAATTACTGCTAACTAATTGATTAATTATTGGCTTACACAATTATGGAGGCTGAGCAGTCCTACGATCTGCTATCTCAAGCTGAAAATGCTGTAAAATTGGGGTGTATTTTGGTCTTAGTCTGAAGACCTGAGAATCAGGGGAGCTGATAATGTAAATCCCAATCTGAGGGCAGGATAAGATGCAAGGAGGTGTCTCAGCTCCAGCAGTGAGGGGAGAATAGAGGGGGTGAAGTCTTCCTTCCTCCGCCTCTGTTCTGTTTGGACTCTCAGCAGATTGGGTGATGCCCGTCTGCATCTAGGAGGGCAGTCTACTTTACTGAGCTCACT